TGGGGCTGAGGAGGGGTGCCAGTCACCAAGGCCCTGCCGAGGCTCGGAGGCTGCTGCGCCCCGTCGATGCCCGCCCGGCTCCTCCACTTTCTCTGGGGCCAGGGGGATTCATGGAACATCCATTGCTTCTCCCAGTGCAGACTGTGGAGACCTTTCGGTTGCTCGTACCCAGAGGAGCATCGCGAGCTCTGCAGGGTAAACCTCCCGCGTGGGCTAGGCAATGAAAACACTCTTCACACCTTGGCATTGGGTTCTTGTGAACTTCCCTGTCCTCATCGAGCTCTTCATAGACCCAGGAAACCTCATGCAACTACATCCCAGGAGAGCAGGTCATCGGGGAGGGCTCACCCCTGCCAGAGCCAGACAAAGCAGCAAAAGGACAGTTTATACAGGCAGGGCTGGAAGGGCAAGCGGCTCCTTCATGTGCTATGAGCTTGGCGTGACAGAGAGGAAGATCTACGGGCAACTGCTGTAAAAATGCTGCCTCTCTGCAGTAGAAACCCAGACGGAGTTGCTATATAATCAGGGGTCATTTGGGCAATGAAGGGAGCTGGGGCTTGAGCAGGGGCTCTCCATCACTTCCACTGCATTTCAACCGCCACGGGCTGCAGCTCGCTTGCAGCACTTGAGCCCATTTATAAATAAATCCAAAATTCTCCTTATTTAGTTTCAGAGCTTTAGGATGTCGACAGGACAAAGCCTCCCGAAAATAAGACGACGGACTCGGAACAGTCCCGCAGCCTGACCCTGGGAGAGCCCTGCGGCGACTCGGGCACCGATCCTGCTGCATCCTGCGTCGAGGTGGCAAACCTTGGTTCACGCCAACGGAGATTTTCAGTGCTGCAGAGGCGAGGATATCCCACATCCCCTAACTGCAGCTTTTCCCAGTGAAAACCCTTGACCTATAAATAAGGAGTTGTTGCTTTTCCCCCGATCGTTGTCCAAACAGCTCGTTAAAATGCCCTTCCATAATTAGAGGGGAACAGAAGTTCCTCCTCTGTGGTCCACTCAGCACATTGCTCACAGTGTGCAACCTACGAGCGGCTCGACACCGCGCTGCCCAAAGGAGCCCTCGGCTCTCGCTTGCCCGGCGCGGTGGCACCGTGCGTGAGCTTTGCCCGACAGGCAGCAGAGCCTGCAATTACTGTTTCGCTTTTATTTGCCATGGCGATTGAATCCTGATAACCGGACACGTTTCCCGGCAGTCGCATGATTTACGGTGTCACACCTATAAAGGACAGCAGTGCTTCAGACCAAAGGTATGAATTTATAACTGCAAAAAATGGGGGGAATATTTGTTTGTGGTGCAAAGGCAAACTATTGCTGAGATAGCAGCCGAGTGTCTGGCACTGCAACCACTATCTCTCTGCTGTCGTGCTGGATCTTTCCTCCTCTCCGGTTCCCCAAGGGTCAGTTTTTCCCCCCACGTTCGTACACACAACCCAAGGAGAACAGAAACTTCTGCAGGACAGAAACCTCTCCCAGAGGCTTGGGAGGCCAACGGAAGAAGAGCTGTCTGTAGACAAGGGAGTTTTTGACCTTAGATGGGGAGAAAGCTTCCCTAGAAAGAGAGAAAGCGAGCAAAGCCACATTTTCACGGACAAACTATATCCAAGTTGTGTTTTCTCAAGCGCTTCAGTCCACTCCGTGCCCCGTTCCACCGCAGCGCTGCACTTCCGAGCTCCACTTCCTCTCCCGTTTTTCCACCCCCTTCAATATTTCTCTCCCTGTTGGCCCTGTCCCTCCCCAGCCTTTCCCCACGCAAAAGAAACCAGGCAGTCATCGGAGCGTTGGGGTGGGCAGCTCGCGCTGCGTCCCTCCCCTCCGACCTTTGCTCTTCCCCGTTCTGATAACGCCGGGATGCAAACGCAGCCGCCGCGGTCCC